GTGTTTCAAAGTGTGAACATCTTCATATGTGCAAAAGTTGCCAAGATAATGTACCTCAGACTCTGAGGTGGATTGTAGGGCTACATGAAGATCATAAACTCTATAGACTAAAACTTTAAAATATACTTTCTTGGTTTTTTAAAAAATTTTATGGGGAACTGTGTGTTTTTCCAGGACCCATCAACTCCAAATTAAGTAATTGTCTTCAATCTAATAGTTGTGGAGGGAGCAGGTCCTTGGCCCATAGGGGAATTGAACCGGCAACCTTGGTGTTATGAGCTTGCGCTCTAACCACCTGAGGTAACCGGCCGCCCTTCAAAGTCTTTTTGATGATACAATGCCTGCAAGATGTTAAGCTATTCAAATGCTGGTTTATAAAGACCAGATAATATGGAAAACACTTAAGAGTGTATTTTAACGGGGCAAGGGAAGGTTACTAATTCATGTTTGTTGTTTATACAACTAGGCTTAGGAGGAAAAAGAACTTGAAATAAACCAAAATAATAGTGGTTAAGGTAGGAGGTTTTTCAGTGTTTTTTTTTTCTATTCTAAATTTTTGTAGTGTGCACATATTACTCATTTATTAAAATATATAATGAACTTGCAAGATAAGGAACTTGTAAAGAGGAGGGAGAGAGCATTATTTAGCTTTTTAGTAGGTAGAAGAATGATGTGATGTCGTTAGTGATCTGAGAATAAGGTTGAGCATGGGAGGCTGCAGGACAAAAAAGTTTAAATATAAAAGAGAAAGACTTTTAAGGAAGGATTGCTGAAAATCTACTTTTAAGCGTGAATTCTACTTGCTTGTTTAAAACCAATATTCCACTGATAAATTAAGAAAGCTACTGCATAAGAAAGACAACTCTTGAGAGTTGAAGGATTCCTGATCGTGGTTCTCACACACGACACTGCTTCTCAAGCAGTTGGCTTGGTGCTGAATTAAGAACAGTAATTCAAGGGACAGCATAAGGTCACAGCGTTGCACAAAACATTTGCTTGTGACGCACCATGGCTTTGTAGGGATAGGAACTGTCTGAATCGATGCCGTTGTTGTCAATGATGTACTGGAAAGCTTCTGTCATGAATCCGCCATTGCAGCCTTTATTCCCGTATTTTTCTTCAGTTGAGCAATCCACCAGGTTCTGTGCACTCAGAGACACCAGCTTTCCTGTTTTCAGCTGCAGCTGGGCCTCCAGGGCCCCCACAGCGCTGAAAGCCCAACAAGCACCACAAGAACCCTGAAACAGAGACAAAGTCACAAAGGCTGGCATAGAACATCAATAAGGATGACATCATAACACAAACTGGACAACGCCCAACATGTCAGCCCTGTCAGTAGTTCCGGGAAGAGCTCCTGCCTCTACAATTTCCTCTTCTCTTAGACAATGGGAATGAAGGATAAAGACTGGATTGTTCTCTGGGCAGGTCCAACCTTGATGAAAATTTGCAAATGGCCAAGCTCAGAGCATAACTGCCATATTCGAATATATTAAGAAACAGTACTTATTAAGCATCTACTTAGTCCCAGCTATCTTCACCCATTAAGAAGGGAGATAGATGCCTACAGTAAAATGATTTGGAGAGAAGTTGGGATGATGACCTTGACCTAACATACCCTTCCTCCTGCCAAATGATGCCTGAAACATTAAGGTTAAAATTTCTTTTAGCTTCAGAATTTTTCAATGAAAAGTTATTTTACAAACTGGAAAACACAAAGCTGCTTTAGTTAAAAAGTACAGAGGATCCAGAGCCCTGTCATAATTGCTCTCTCTCTCTCTCTCTCTCTCTCTCTCTCTTCTCCCCTTATCCCACCTTGCTCTCTACCCAAAGGAAGCAATATGATTTTGCTTTTGGTTAAAGCAAAATCGCCCATTGAAATGCAAGCACTCAGGGAAAGAAGTTCATTAAATGGTTTATAATCAACACCTAAATATGTAGTTTATCAGGTCTTCTCAAACTTTTATTTTAGAGACGCTCCAGTAAGAAACCCAAAACTAGTGAAAGAAAAAACAATCTAGGTGGGAAAGAGATTGGCAGTGCCCTTTCACTTCTTCATTTGTATGTTCTTCATTGGTCAAGTGCTGGGGCAGCTGCTTAGATTCTTCTGCCTTCCTCTGACCTCAAAGACAACACATGTGTTGAATCCTTAGTTATCCCTAAATAATTTAGGATTTTTGTATCTTTCTTTTTTTTTTTTACAAGCAAACTAAAAGAGATGCAAAAACATAGAAACAAATTTATAAAGCCCGTATTTCTCATTCTAACAATGCAAACTTAGTCATGAATGAACCTGACTAGTACAACTTATAGACCACTCTGAGCTCCACTTCTTTTCCTCTCCTTCAAACCTGAACTTCATAAGTGATATGGGGGGAGAAACTTCCCGATCGATATTCTCTGACAGACGATACTGTTTCTCAAGCAATTGGCTTGGTGGAGGGTCCAAGGTAGTGGATGGATAGCATGAGCACTGAGAATTTGTCTTAAAGATCTATTAGCTTAGTTCACAGTTTTTGTCTAATGTGGCTCTAAGCATTGTGGGGCATACCAATAAAGTATGATATGTAGTCCCTCAAAAAGCTTACAATTTAAGTGGGAAGACAAGAATAACAAAAATAATTAGAAGGTAACATAAGGGAGATTCACTGCCAAATTTGGAAGATAGAGGACGTATCCAAGGAAGAGAGAGCGTTCTTGCTGGGGTACAGTGGCCTGGGATGACGACACTCACCTGGTATTTCACATCAGTAACACACCCCTTGTCCCTCCAGTCCAGAGAATCAGGCAATTTCTGATTAGGGTTTGACTTGTAAGTGACATTCCTTCGCGATTGGCTGGGAACTCTCAGGGCACTCATCAAAGACATCACTTCTTCACTGGTCTACCAGGTTAAAAAAGCAATAATAATAAAATAAAATAAAATTACACACACACACACACACACACACACACAGTGCCAAAAAAAATGTATACACATTTTAAGAAAGGAAAAAAAACTATTAAAATTGTAATAATATATACCGATAACAAAAGATGAATACAAGTCACGTTTGACTTCTGCAATTACAAGAGGCGCTCAAAGTGGTTACCATCAGCATCCAGACACTTTTGATTACAACGAACTACTGCTTGAGCAACGTTGACCAAAGTGTCCAGTTGTATACATTTTTTTGGCACCCCCGAGATATATATATTCTTTCACTTATATTCTACTTTTCAATATTCTTATTGAAAATAGTCAACAACTGAGGAGAACTAGTGGTAGTTCTGACCAACACAGGTGCTGCCAACTATCTGGCAGGTGAATTATCTGGCTTTTTTTGGGTTGACACTTTGCATTAGCACCCCAGTTAGGCATTGGGAAGGAGAAGAAGAAAGTGGTAAAAACTAGAAGTTACAAGAAGGCAGGTTTTTGGTTTAAAGCAAGGCAGAATTTTATAAAAGGGCTGCCTAAAAGTGGACCGAACTGATTTTCCTCGTGAATAAGAATTACAAAGGAGATTCCTGTATTTTAGTAGGAATTTAATCTACCTCCAGTGTTTCCTTCCAAGGGGTACTATGATTCTTAATTTTGGCCACGGTGGTAAAGTTTTATAGGGTAGAACAGAATCTAAAAACTAATCAGAGATTGATTATTTGTGATATTAAATACCCACATTCTCCCCCATTAAGAAAGCAGGTAGGGCCGGCCGAGTGGCGCGATGGTTAAGAACTGGCTTGGGATGCCAGAGGGTCCCGGTTCGGATCCCACATATGAGGGCCAGTGACACTGCCCTCCACAGCTAAGATGCTGAACAACAGCTCAACCTGGAGCTGGGCTGCCATGAGTCGCCGGCGACGGCGACGGCTGCAGCCCCGGTGGCAGTGGGTTGCCATGGGCTACGGTGTGTAGCCAGCAGCCAGCATGAACGGCCAGCAGCCGCTGTGAGCGGCCGTCCAGAAGCCGGCGACTGATCTGCCTCACCCGGGAAGAGCGCAATGATGGTGCCAACTTGGGCCAGTGAAGCAACATCCTCCACAACTAGATTGAAGAACAAAACGACAGCAACTTGTCTGTTCCCCTTCCCCCAATTACCCAGCACTGTTCCCATCCCCCTAATTCCCCAATAAAAATCTTAAAAAAAAAAAAAAAAGAAAGCAGGTAGACCATATTAAATTGTCAATTTAGACTTGGATCAGTATGGTTGCTAAAAGATTGTGAGTAGCCTTTAGGCAATGCTTTCTAGAATTAATAAAAAATAAAAGCAATAGTAATCCGTAAGTTTAAAATATTCCTCTAAAGAATGGATTTGTTAAGGAGAATGGCCACAGTAAGACTAAAGAAATCTGTACAAATTCTTGTCTTTAAATTCTACATTTTTCTAACTGTGTATACATATATTGGGTTGTCGGAAGAGTCATGATGCATTTTTGCAACGAAAAACAGAAAAAACACGTCATGACTTTTCCGACAACCCAATAGATACTTCTCATTTGTTGTTTACCTTCAAACTGCCTTTGAAGAGACAGAAATCACGCTTACCAAGATTGGAAGTAGGATTATTTGTAATTTACCTACCATGTCTCCCATGTGGTTCATGCCCAGATCGTATGAATGCATTCCCATTGAATGTTCCAGATTGTGAAGCGTCACAAATTTTAGATTTTTTTCCCAGATGAGTCGCCGTACTGCTTCCTCATTCTAAAACACAAGGAAAAAGAATATAGTTATACTGAAACCTGCACACGTAAGTGCTCAATAACGAAAATAAACATGTTACAAAGCATTCTACCAAATGTGGATCTGTCTGGGAGTCTGAGAGCATGCAAATAAATGAATATATCCGATGTAACTGGTAAAATTACATGTTAATCTTAATTCTTGCTCTTAATTGCTTTGATGGTGATTAATATTATTTTATGACATACATAATGAACTTCCTCAGCATGAAAAAAGTGTTTTTTTAGAAACTACTGTTTGCTGAAGTATATCTTTTGTAAATAGTAAACTCAATCTTTACAGACCATTTTAAAATCTTTCTTTTTTAACCCTTACTGTTGAATAATTGTTTAGTGGATTATAAATTTCTAGCTATTTTTCTTCAGTTATTTGAAGATATTTCTCCATCGTCTTCTGGTATCTATTCTTTTTATTTTCATGCGCTGCCTTCCAGGTGAATGCTTCAGTACTGTCTTTCCGGATTGCTGATTCTATCCAACTCTTTCCAGTCTGACGATTTATCCCTTCTACTGAGCTCTTATTTCAATGACTAAATTTTTTATTTTCAAGATTTCTAATTGGGTTTCTAATTTACTTCATGATTTCTTGTTCATGTGTATGGATGTTATTCCATTATATACAGTGTTATATTAAAATTGGTTCTATTATTTTAATTTTATCCAGAGTGAATCCATATTTTGGCTGTTGGTTTCGTTGCCCTCCACTTACGTAGAATCGGTGCAAATAGATTATAATGCACATTGTGGACCCTCACTCCCACCCCCAGGGCCATAGTTTCCAATAAGCAGTTGCCCGATGAGCAGTCAGCAGCAACTCTTTTCTGCCTCATTTCATGGAGTGGTAGAGCCCAGGTCCAGGCCCTGGTTTCAAGTAGCGAGTCTAGATACAGCCCTCCTCCCTTGGAGTGTATACTGTTACCCCAGGACTGGACATGTACAGATATACTTCCAAACTATTAGACGGGAAAAAATGGAATAGAGGAAAATAAATCTAATGAAGTATAGGGAAGGAAAAAAAGAAATGAACTTTAAGATAAATACATGTAGGATAAATGAAACAAATAAAGGTAGGATACTAATCGAAAGTCACTTCATTCCTCCTTAAGGATTGAAATTATTGAAAAGAAAGATAGCTTTCCTTTAACCAGGTCATGGTGCTATCTGCCCATCTAACTCTGGTTGACTTTGAAATTAGAAGCTTGATCTAAAGGGGAGTGAGGGTGAAGTTCATCACCACTGAGAAAACAACTCCGAGTGCACGTCCTACTCAAAGTATCATTTCTACAAAAATAATACATCAAGTAAATACATACATAATGTTTGCCTACAAATTCAGAAATATTATATAGCTATTAGCACTAGGATTAAGTTCTTAAAATCGAACAATAAGTATGCTTTGGAATAAAAACAAAAGTACAAATTGGGAAGCGAGAATCAAGAACGAACATTCGTGCGTGCCAGGGACTAAAACAGAGCTTTCGTTAAACAAGCGCTTCTTTGCCGTGGCCTGGGACCTTCACCCCAGTTATCTGCTTTGCTTGCTCCCTGGCGTCTATCAGCTCTCTGCTCAAATTCACGTTATATGTGACGCCTTCCCTGACCATCCTATCTTACACTGGAATAATCACCCCCAGCCTCTCACAGCCACCACCCACGGCCCTTCCTGCTCCTCATGCCTTGCTTTATTAATCCTGACTGCACTTATCACCATCTAACATATTACATAACTGCCCGCTTATTTGCTTATTTCCTGTCTCCTCCTCTAGGATATAAATAAGCCCCATAAAAACAGGAACTTTGTTTTGTTTTCTGCTGTATCTCTAGTACCAAGAACAGAACCTGGCAAGAAGTGAGATCATGACATGGATTGAAAACACTGCTTGTAAGAATATACAAGAGAAAGCATAGGGCA